CCATCAGCGACGCCGCGCAGCTACCTCAGGACTACTGCACCACGCCCGGGGGGACGCTGTTCTCCACCACGCCGGGAGGTGAGCCGTCCGGGCCTGCCCGCCAGCCATCGCCGCTGGCGCGTGGCACCGTATACTCGAGCTACAGCTTCCTCTCCTTTCCTGGGGCCGTCCGCCGCTCGGGCTGTGTGCCGCAGAGCGTGCACTCTGCGAAGCGGGGCTCGTTTCTGGGGCTGCCCTACGGATTTTGAGGGAGGGAAAACGAGCTGGGTGATCCGGCGGGGAACGGTACGACGACTTATCTGGCCGTGCTTAGAGCCCCGGGACGAGTCTGGCATGCACTTTGCTTGCCTCGCTCGCTGTTATCTTTATTTGACAGCATTGTTTACTTTGCTGGAGGAACCATCACAGGTTGGGGGAGCCCCAGACTGGGAGAAAACCGGGGGGTAAAATGCCTCCTGTGGTAGCCCCGAAGATGTTGGCTCTGTCAGCTTTCAGCCCAGGGCTTTTGGGGAGCGGCTTTGAGACTGTGGAAGGGTGATTTGTCAAACAGCACACACTAGTCGGGTTATGTTGCTTGATCCTAGGGAAGGGGCTTGTAGAAAGAGGAGGTGCAAAAGGAGGTTCCTGGGTTGCTTTCCATAAGATGGCCCGGAACTGTTTACAAGCGCAACACTAGAGAAGAGGTGAAACATGTTGAATTGGTCACGGGAGAAGGAAGCGCAAAGGTTGTTTGTCCGCTTTCTGGGCTGTTCTCTGGAGGGAGGAGCTTGGAAAGGGATCTTCCGGGTCCTAATGAAGGGAACTGGCCTTCCTTTTCTTCTAATCTCAGAACTTTGCCTTCTTTTGGTGACCCAGGGGGTTGGCTTTGGTTAGTGGGTGAAGATTTGGTTGGCAGCCCTGCAGTTCTATGGAGTTCGTAGTCTTGACCATGGGGCAGGGCTCCTAATTTCTCTTCAACCAATCACTTGCAATTGGGCCTGGCCCTCCTGTAATCTTGTGCAATAGGAAGAAGGCACAGAATAAAGAACCGCCTTGCCAACACCAAGAAATAGCAATCCAGAGGCTGTGTGTGGTAGTTTGGGGCTGTTGTCCCATTACTCCGGGAAGAAGAGGAAGGAGAATTGCAATTTAAAGTCAGCCCCAGCTACATATCCAGGACAGCCTATGCTACAGTGTCAGACAACCAACAAGGAAGGGGGAAGGAAAGCAAACAAATCTAGGAGAAAAGCTGGCAGAGGATCCAGCCAGGCCAGTCTAGAGAAAGGAATGAATGCCCTGAAAGACCTTCAAAATGACCCAGGCAAAGGAAGGCATGCCTTATGGATAGACAGGTTTTAGAAGCCTACAAGTCCACTGTAGAACAGTGCAGATCCTGGTGAAGTGGTAGTGGCTTAAGTTGCTCAAGAAGCCTTTTTGATTTGGTCTGTTTAAGACCAGCAGGTTTAGCCGGTGTTGGTGGCGCATGCCTTTAATCCCAGCACTCCAGAGGCAGAGGCGGGCGGATCTCTGTGAGTTCGAGACCAGCCTGGTCTACAAAGAGCTAGTTCCAGAACAGCCTCCAAAGCCACAGAGAAACCCTTTCTTGAAAAACCAACCAACCAACCAAAAAAAGACCAGCAGGTTTTAGTCTTTCTTTTCTTTTTGTGTATGGGGGGTGTGTGGCTACCTTATACCTCTTTATGTAATCCAGGCTGGCCTCAAACCCATGATGTTCTTGCCTTAGCCTCCTGAGGGCTGGGATGTGTGTGTCCCTCCATACCTGGTGGAACCAAAAATCAGGAAAGATCTTAGTCAGCCCCAGATGGAATTGTCTTATTTTGAACTGATAGCTTTTAAGAAACAGAGATTAGTGGCCAGCAACACTTGGCAGACAGAGGCAGGTTGATCTCTGTGAGTTCAAAGCTAGCCCATTTTTATACTACTTTCCCAGGACAGCCAAGGCTGCTTAGTGAGACCCTGTTTCAAAACAAACAACAACAAAATATTTCCAAGGTAGTGGAGAGAGATCTGTTATTTACTCCAGATGGTATTGGTCAGTAAAATGCCCATGTTCCCAGCACATGCCACAGTAACAGGTGTACTTAGCTCTAATTTACTTGGGGAGGAACCATACTTCTAGCTCTGTGTTAATCTTGCTCTCCCGAGGGAGGATCCAGAGAGGGAAAACCCTGTGGTCATATTTCAAACACCTCACTGCTGTTCTTTCAAAAAAAAGAAAAGGCACATAGTCTTTAAGCCTTGCTTTAAAAGATAGAAGTTGTCTCAAAGCTTGGATTAGTTCTAAAATGCTTGGGAAGGTCGGCCGGAAATATTCATTCATTTGCTCTTCCATGACAGTGTCATCACTCAGCCTGCATCTACAGAGCTTCTGCACATAGTTGTTTGTTTGGAGTTGGGGTCTCACTGTGTATCCCCAGCTGGCCTGCAGTTCACAGAGATGTGCCTGCCTCTGTCTCACAAGTAGTGGCATTAAAGGCCGCTATGCCTAGCAGTCTTGGGATCTTGATGCAGCAGAGCTGCTTTCTGTTTGTAAGAAGATAGCATTTGTAGGGATTAGAGCTGAGCTGAGCCTTTTTTTTTTTTTTTTTTTTTTTTTTTTTTTTTTTTTTTTTTTTTTTTGAGACAGGGTCTCATTGTATAACCCTGGCTGGTAGACCAGGCCAGTCTCAAACAGCAATCCATCTACCTCTGCCTCTCTAATGCTGAGATTAAGAGTATGAGCCACTATGCCTGGCTAAGCAGTCTTTTTTCTTTTTCGAGATGGGGTTTCTCTGTATTGCTTTGGAACCTGTCCTGGATCTCGATCGGTAGACCAGGCAGACTTTGAACTCACAGAGATCCGCCTGCCTCTGCCTTCCGAATGCTGGGATTAAAGGCGTGTGCCACCATTGTCCAGCTGGAATGATTGTAAGGTGCTCTTTATTGGGGCTAGAGAGAGGGTTCAGAGTGTGCCTGCACATTTTGCAGAGGACTTGAGTTCAGTTCCCAGCTCCCACACTGGGACACTTGTAACTCCAGCTTCAGGAGAACTCATGCTCCCATCTGGCCTTCACTGGCATTTGCACACATACCATATCCTACAGACACATACTCATTTAAAAAAAAAAAAAAAAAAAAGGACATTATTATTGGTGTGTGTGTGTTGGCTTACCAGTGAAGATCAGAGAGCAACTTTTTTGTTTTGTTTTTCGAGACAGGGTTTCTCTGTGTGACAGCCCTAGCTGTCCTAGAACTGACTCTGTAAACCAGGATGGCCTTGAACTCACAGAGATCCACCTGCCTCTGCCTCCTGAGTGCTGGAATTAAAGGCATGTGCCACCCCCTGGCTAACTGAAGGGTTTCTTAAAACTCCCCTCTGTGGTTTGGAAATGAGAACCCAGCTAAAAGCACACTTGCTGTGACATCTTGAGTTGCTTTTGCTGGTGTGAGGGGACTCTGCTCATTACTCAGGGACAGGAAAGCTTGTTTCATTTTCTCCTGTCTGCCCATGGAGCTATTGGTGGACATTACTTCTTCCAGTACAAGCTGTTGCTGCCTTTATGGAAGGTAAGCTTGCTCCAATAACTGAGCTTTCTTGTATACTAGTCCTGTTAGCTGAGGACCCTAATGTGTTCACTTTAGAATCAAATGGCCCTGAGACCCAAAGAAATTAACTGGTTAGTTAGTATTGTACAGCCAATTCATGTCAGTGGATAGGCTTAGTAGTAGTCTCATCACTCAGTAGTCTTACCGCTCACTACCCAGTCTTCCTCCACCATCTTAGATACTTACTGTCCAGGGAAAGGAAGTTGGCAGACCTTTCAAGACATTTCTGCCTTTGGAATGTTAGCTTGTAATGTCTTTCTCTTTAGTTTTTTCCTGAGACAAATGCTCTGGGGTCAGCAGAAGTATAGTGACCTATTTTAGCCTTCTTCTCCTCAGTCACATTCTCAGTTACGGAAAAGAAGAGTGCACACAGGAGCAGCAGAGGGCCACTAATCACTGTGGCCTGAAATCCTGTGTTGTGTCTCTTTTCCCTGCCAGCTGGCTCCTTCTTTGCTGCTGTTGGTTTCCTAGGGCAGAGTTAACCTGCAGGCCATTGGGAGAATCTAGAAATAAATGAGAAGGCCTGAAAGGGGGGAAATAATTCCCTTGTGTGTGTGGTGGTGAGGGGGGGGGGGGGGTTGGGGGACTACCTTCTTTTTCATCAGGTCCTTTCTTGAAGGAAACAGCTGTGCTCTGTAGCTTCAGGGGTGGTTTGGTTTCTTAGTGAGTTTAGCCTGTTTATTCTGAGCCAACAAAATGTCTTTCTTTAACTTTATTCCATACTTTATTCCACACTGTTTCTCGTGTGTGCCTCTGTGGACCCATGTAGAGACCAGAGGAAACCTTTGCTTGCTTACTCTCCGGGTCTGTCACTGAGTCTGGGTTTGCTGAATCTAGAGATTTGGCTAAGCTAAGGCTAACTAGCCAGCCAGTCCCCCCCCCCCCAACCCCCCCGCCCCCCCCCCCCCCCCCCAACACACACGTGCACGCACGCACGCTTGCCCTGGGAATACAAGGGGAATACAAGGCCACCCAGAACCAACCACATTCTTTCCATGGATGCCAGGGACTGAACTGAGATCCTCACATTTATATACCACTTACTCACTGAGCCGGCCCATTAACTTCAGTTCTTAGCCACAGCACTTCATTATTATAGGTGAGAGATTCACTTCACACACTTGCCTTGTTATGCCAGGAAAATGGCAACTGCTTGCCTCAATATTATAGACTGCCATGGGATGGCATTCTGCCAGGGTGTCTGTTCTTCAGCTTTTGTGCTGGATTTGGAGGGACTGACTGGCTTTGCAAGCCTGATAAATGCTGAGGACGTTTCTAGTCGAGGCAGCACTGGGAGAGAGGATCAGGTCAGTTGGGGGGTGACGGAGAAGGTAGCGCTGCTGATGCTGCTGTTCCTGGTGCAGCGCTGCCTTCTACCCACCATCCCTCAGAGGGAATAGGGAAACTGACACCTGCACCCAAAGTCATTCAGCACAACCTTTCCAGGCCTAGCATCGTAAAGGCAGTACCGAGGGATTTTTGTATGGTTGTGG